TTTTTTTTAGTTTTTTTGTTTATTAAATTCTAAATTCATCTTTTCTCTGCTTTTTTCCTTAAAATTATGCCAACAGCATGTGCTTCTGGGCATTTGGCAAAACATTCAAGAATTATGTTTAACATTTTTGCTYTATTTTGTCTATGTTTTATTGCCAAATTTGCCAGTGGGTTAGTAGGTTGTCATGCCTGTGTGGTTCTGTCTGATATTTTTGTTCAGCGGCAATGCTTTTCAATTGCCTAGGTGTTAGCATAGACTAAACAGCGCAGTACGATGGGTAAACACATTTCACATTGACTCACTGGTGAAGCGAAAAAATGCGCTAATATGTTCGTTTGTAAATCAAGTATATTTTGTCTTTCCTATGTTTTCTTTTTTGACTGAAGTATTACAAAAATCGAAAAAAAATATTGAAATTTGAAGAATACAGCGTGTTTAAAATATAATTTTGTTGTATTTTTTGGCATAAGTTGAACAAAGTATAATTTTTTCCTTTCGAGATTTCAGTACTTTACTATTACTGCCTACATTCAGGCGAAATGTGGCAATTATTATTATTAAAGCTAGCATAGTTTTTGGCGTCAAGCACTTGTATTGATGACATCAAAAGTTATTAATAATTATTAATAATTAMTACTTAAATACTTTAATTAAACCAATATACTACAGCTAAAAAACTCTGGCCTACATTCAGGCTTTTTTACAAAAACTTAGCGAAGTCGCACACCAAATTTACAATCTATGTCTCTCATGTTGCATAACTCAATAAAATAGAAAAATATTCTATTATTTCTATAGCATTAAAATATATGTTCTGATTTTTGAAATTTTCCCATACTTGAAGGAAAGAAATATTTTCTTATATTTCTTAAATTTTTGCCTGTTTGATCACCTGCATATACTATATACGCGAATTAGTCGCGCAGATTTTCAAATATCGATATGAAATTGTGTACACGTCTTTTTCTAGCCAAGAACCACCTTATCTGTCGCAACCGCCGAAATCGGATCATTATAGCATATAGCTGCCATAGAAACTGTACTACCGTATTCAATTCCTTCYATGAGAAAATTTTGTATTCTTCAAGATATCTTGAAGAAATTTGGCACAAATTATTATCTACGGCAATGCTGAAATATCGAAGAATTTTCTCATATCGGATCCCCATAGCATATAGCTGCCATACAAACTAACCGAACAAAATGAGTTTCTTGCATAGAAACTTTTTAATTTATGGAAGGTATACTAGCTTCGGTGTAGCCGTAGTTGATGTATTTTCTTCAATTTTAATTAAGCTTAATTTAGTTTTATTTTATTTCTATTTTTATTTTTATTCCTATTTTTTTAATTTTTGTTTGTTATTTTTTAAATTTTTTTTAAATTTCTAATTTTTTTCCATTTTTTTCCATTAACTTTCCTTTTATAATTATTTTTTCTTTAATATTTTCTTTGTTTTGACCTCTCAACATCGATTTCCGTTAATCTCAAAAACCATTTAATCTCCCATGTTGAATGATATTACTTTTGCTAAGCCCCCGCTGACACAYACTGTTATTAAAGGCACACACAGTCATTCGCACATTCACCCATACAAACATACGCAACTACATTTGCRGTCAGCAAACATCAGCTTTAATATCACAGTGCTCGCTTTGAGCCAGTCATTGGACTTACTCTTGCAGCTGTGGAGTGAAATGATACTCAGCTATTGTCTCTGGATACTAAAATGCGAAAGTAAAAATAATAATAATAATAAATAAGTTCATAAGTGCACATTTCAACATACAGATTACASACACATACACGCACACACATAAATGGCAGCTACGCAATGCCCTAGAATATTTACACACTGAAGGCCATTTAGCCACCTTCGAGTGGGCGGTGGGTGACCTCCCTACCAGCRCATCTGTTTTTAGGGTGCAATAAACCAGGTAGCTCTATGGGAAAGTATTRTTGTGTGTGCCTCATATTTATTTGTGTGCTTAGTTAAAGTCACCTGTGCACATATGTATTTACATACGTATGTGTACTTAACAGTGGCTGTGGTTACAACAGCGCCTGTCAACGACAGCAGCCCAGCAGCCGGCAGCAGGCGGCAACACTTTGTGGCCTTTTGTGTCATATTTTCTTATGTCTTTTAGCAGTAAAATTAAATTCTTTTTTTGTATTTCATTTTATGAAATGTTTCGTTTAACAATCCATGCGTAAATTTGTATAAACATGGAAATGAAGACAATAAAAGCTGGCAGTAGTAAAATCAAGAAAAGGGGGAATATAACCACAGAACACTTGAGCACACGCTTGGGAAACTGCCTGCAAAAGATTATGTGCGATTAGATATAGCTGTGTACGAACAGACATATGTAAATATTCAACAAGAAAAAACGTTACCATTGGCTGCACTGAACCCCTGACAGGAGAATTTCTTATGGGTTAAGGGGGTATAATAGGTTTTTTGGCTTGATTTTGATCGCTCATATATGCAATGATATATTTGGAAAYTATAGCGCTGCCTCGGATTATGATCCAAGCCAAATTTCGTGAAGATAACTCACCAAATAAAATAGTTTTCCTTACAAGAACACGATACTGATCGATCAATTTGTATRGCATGTATATGGTATAGTGCTCCGATCCGAATAATTTTTTCGAATATTGTATCATTGCCTTGAATAATAATTCCTACAAAATGTCATGAGCATACCTTATCAAATAAATAAATTTTCTATACAAGGGCTTCATTGTGATCGTTCAGTTTGTATGACAGCTATATGCTATAATGCTTCGGTCCGAATGATACGTTCAGGGATGATAGTGGTGCCTTGAATTACGATCCAAGCCAAATTTCGTGAAGATAACTTGCAAACAAAAATATTTTGCTCTACAAGAACTCGATACTGATCGATCAACTTGTATGGCAGCTATACCGTATAGTGCTTCGATTCGAACSATTCATTCAGAGATTGTAGTGGTGTCTTGGATACGAATGTTTGCAAAATTTCGTGAASATATCTTCTTAAATAAAAAAGTTTTCCATACAAAAAATAATTGTTCTAGSAGTATAGCTGTCTTGGGCTATACGCCGTGCAAAATTTCGTGACAATATCTTTTGAAGTTGTCTATACAAGGTCTTAACTTTGAGCGATATGTTTATATGCCAGCATTACCTTATAGTGGCCCGATAAGGGCGTTTTTGTCAAATGAGCATCTTCTTGAAAAGAAGAGACCGTGTGTATTTCAGATTGATATGTCAAAAACGCGGAAGATATGCTCGATAAGCAGTCATACAGCAAGTCTTAAGCCTGTCTAATCTCTTCTGTAGTCATTACTCTAGCGAATACAAACGTATGAGAACTTTGTCTAAACGGCAATAGTGGATTGTGTTTCGTTGTCGGAACATCATCCAAACAAATTCGCGTTATAAAGCAAAACTGTRGTTCTTCAATGTTAAAGACTTGTGCTTCTTAAAAAATATTTCTGAAATTCCCTTACAACAACAACATTTTTTTATGATCCAACAATTTTTTTAATTTTTTGTATGTCATTTATTTTTTGTGCTTATTTGTCTTCATACCACACAGAATTTATATTCATCACCCCATCRCCGTTGTCCCTCGCAGCAGTCACTTCATTAAATATGCAAAACTTCAGCAAATTTTTTTTATAC